CATCACTGGTGAGGTCAAATTCCTCCAAAGTTGCTTGGTTTGCCGCCTCCTCATTTAGTGCAGGGGCTTCTCCTTGTTCTATTGTGAAGACCTCCTGGAATCTCTTGTTGAGTTCTTCACACACCTCCTTGTCATTCTCTGTGTATCTGTTCTCCCCTTTCCGCAGCTTCATCACTTGTTCCTTCACTGCTGTTTTCCTCCTGATATGGCTGTGGAGCAGCTTTGGTTGGGTCTTGGCTTTACTCGCGATGTCATTTTCAAACTGTCTCTCTGCTTCCCTCCTCACTCTGATGTACTCATTTCTGGCCCTCTGGTATCTCTCCCTGCTCTCTGGTGTTCTGTTATTTCTGTAGTTTCTCCATGTTCTTTTACTCAGTTGTTTCGCTACCTTACATTCCTGGTTGAACCATGGGTTTTTCTGTTGTTTTTCGTTTTTCTCCTTTTGGACGGGGATAAACCTGTCTGCAGCTTCCTGGCACTTTTGGGTGACAATATCCATCATGACCTGCACATTCTTGTCTCTAAGTTCTGTTTCCCATGGTATTCCCCTGAGGAAGTTCCTCATCTCGTCATATTTTCCTCTTCGGTAATTCAGTCTTTTCCCCTCCACTCCCATCCTTGGATAGGTTATCCCTACCTCCACCAAGTACTCAAAGGTCAGTACACTGTGGTCACTCATTCCAATGGGGGCTTCAACTTTGACTTCCCTTATTTCTGACTCATTCAGGGTGAATATTAAGTCGAGTCTAGCTGGTTCATCATTGCCTCTCATTCTTGTGGGTTCCTTGACATGCTGGCTCAGAAAATTCCTTGTTGCCACTTCCAAGAGTTTAGCTCGCCACGTATCTGCACCACCATGTGGGTCCCCATTCTCCCAGTCTATCTTTCCATGGTTGAAATCACCCATGATTAAGAGTCTTGAGCCATTCCTGCTGGCAACTGAAGCTGCTCTCTCTATTATATTAATGGTTGCCATGTTGTTCCTATCAAACTCCTGTCTAGGTCTTCTGTCATTTAGGGGAGGGTTGTAAATGACTGTCACTATTATCTTAGGTCCACCCATTGTTATAGTTCCTGTTATGTAATCTCTGAATCCGTCACAGCCCGGAATTTCCATCTCATCAAAACTCCAGTGCTTCCTTATCAGCAGGGCCACTCCTCCACCTCCTCTCCCTTCCCTCTCTTTCCTTACTATATAGTAGTCCTTTGGAAACACAGCATCTGTTATGACTCCTGACAATTTTGTTTCCGTTAGTCCTATTACATCAGGGTATTCTTCTTGCACCCTTTCTGCCAGTTCACTTGCTTTATTGGTAATCCCATCAATGTTTGAGAACATTACCTTGAAGCTCACTTTCTTATATCCAATTTCACCCACACTCCCTACAAGTGTAGGAGGTTGTTCTATGGTCATTGCTACTTGGGTAGGCTCCTCCTCCTGTGAGGTAGTTGCCAGGGGTTCAGGGGGAGGTGGAGTGGGGGGTGGAGGGCTTAGGTCTTCCTCAGGCCTGCTTGGGCCAGGAAGAAGTCCTGGGGGTGAGGGAGCAGGGGTTGCTTGGGGAGAGGGCACGCCCTCCTGCGGTGTAGTTGACAGGGGTTTGGAGGGAGGTGGAGTGGGGGATAGAGGGCTTTGGTCTTGCTCAGGCCTGCTTGGGGCAGGGAGAAGACCAGGGGCTGGGAAAGCAGGGGCTACTTGGGGTAAGGGGAGGGGGAGGATTTGGGTTTCATGATGGGCATTATGCAGGAGCAAGGAAGGGTTTGTGCTGGGGGGTAGGGAGGGCCCTATTGGGTGGTGGACTGAGGTGTTGCATTCCCCCCTGGGGTTCCTGGGTTGCTGGATTGGGGTTCCCCACTCCCCTCTGGGATTGCTGGGTTGGAGGCTGAGGTTCCCTGGCTCTCTTCCCTCTCCTTGCGCCTTTTCCTTGCATCTGCTGCCCTTACTATCTCGTCTCTGGTCATGTCCCTCTGAACATATACCTCTTTGTAGTTCCTTGCATGCCTCAGTTTGCTCTTCCTTACTAGAATGTCCTCTTTGATGTCCTCGCTCTTGAATACTACCTTGATCAATCTTTTTTTCTCTCTGTTGTACTGGCCAATCCGGAAAAACTGTTCTATGTCTCGTTCAGCCCCTTCCATTCCTATCTCCTTTAATATCCCTGCCACTGCAGCTTTGTCTTTAGTCCTCGTTTCCTCCCTTGTGGAGCCCTCTTGTTCCTCGACACCTACCACTACTACAGCTCTTTTCCTTTCCATTAGCTGGCTTGTGCATCTAGCTGCCTCCTGTGAGGTTACTGCTTTCATTACAACTTCCTTGACTGTGGACATTGCTCCTGGGCTCTTGAGCATTTCAGCAAAGGTTTCAATGTATGTATGTATGTATGCACCTCCCTGACCACAGCCTCGACTGACCTCATTTCCCTCCCTGAGAAGGGCAGGAGGGAGAAGAGGAGGTGAAGTAATAATCTGATAACGCTGAGGTGTTCGGACCTGAGGTGTTCGGACCTGAGGTGTTCGGACCACCACAGTGGTGGTCAAGCTGAGGTGTTCGGACCACCACAGTGGTGGTCAAGCTGAGGTGTTCGGACCACCACAGAGGTGGTCAAGCTGAGGTGTTCGGACCACCACAGAGGTGGTCAAGTGTTCGGACCACCACAGAGGTGGTCAAGCTGAGGTGTTCGGACCACCACAGTGGTGGTCAAGCTGAGGTGTTCGGACCACCACAGTGGTGGTCAAGCTGAGGTGTTCGGACCACCACGGAGGTGGTCAAGCTGAGGTGTTCGGACCACCACAGAGGTGGTCAAGTGTTCGGACCACCACAGAGGTGGTCAAGCTAAAGTGTTCGGACCACCACAGAGGTGGTCAAGCTGAGGTGTTCGGACCACCACAGTGGTGGTCAAGCTGAGGTGTTCGGACCGCCACAGTGGTGGTCAAGCTGAGGTGTTCGGACCACCACAGAGGTGGTCAAGCTGAGGTGTTCGGACTACCACAGAGGTGGTCAAGTGTTCGGACCACCACAGAGGTGGTCAAGCTGAGGTGTTCGAACCACCACAGAGGTGGTCAAGCTGAGGTGTTCGGACCACCACAGTGGTGGTCAAGCTGAGGTGTTCGGACCACCACAGTGGTGGTCAAGCTGAGGTGTTCGGACCACCACAGAGGTGGTCAAGCTGAGGTGTTCGGACCACCACAGAGGTGGTCAAGTGTTCGGACCACCACAGAGGTGGTCAAGCTGAGGTGTTCGGACCACCACAGAGGTGGTCAAGCTGAGGTGTTCGGACCACCACAGTGGTGGTCAAGCTGAGGTGTTCGGACCACCACAGTGGTGGTCAAGCTGAGGTGTTCGGACCACCACAGTGGTGGTCAAGCTGAGGTGTTCGGACCACCACAGAGGTGGTCAAGCTGAGGTGTGCGGACCACCACAGAGGTGGTCAAGTGTTCGGACCACCACAGAGGTGGTCAAGCTGAGGTGTTCGGACCACCACATAGGAGGTCAAGCTGAGGTGTTCGGACCACCACAGTGATGGTTAAGCTGAGGTGTTCGGACCACCACAGTGGTGGTCAAGCTGAGGTGTTCGGACCACCACAGAGGTGGTCAAGCTGAGGTGTTCGGACCACCACAGAGGTGGTCAAGTGTTCGGACCACCACAGAGGTGGTCAAGCTGAGGTGTTCGGACCACCACAGAGGTGGTCAAGTGTTCGGACCACCACAGAGGTGGTCAAGCTACACTCAACAGGTCATCACACGACAGGTCATCACACTGCTACACTCAACAGGTCATCACACTGCTACACTCAACAGGTCATCACACGCTACACTCAACAGGTCATCACACGACAGGTCATCACACTGCTACACTCAACAGGTTATCACACTGCTACACACGACAGGTCATCACACTGCTACACACGACAGGTCATCACACTGCTACACACGACAGGTCATCACACTGCTACACACGACAGGTCATCACACGCTACACTCAACAGGTCATCACACGACAGGTCATCACACTGCTACACACGACAGGTCATCACACGCTACACACAACAGGTCATCACACAACAGGTCATCACACTGCTACACACAACAGGTCATCACACGCTACACACGACAGGTCATCACACTGCTACACACAACAGGTCATCACACGCTACACACAACAGGTCATCACACGACAGGTCATCACACTGCTACACACGACAGGTCATCACACTGCTACACACAACAGGTCATCACACGCTACACACAACAGGTCATCACACGCTACACACAACAGGTCATCACACGACAGGTCATCACACTGCTACACACGACAGGTCATCACACTGCTACACACAACAGGTCATCACACGCTACACTCAACAGGTCATCACACGACAGGTCATCACACTGCTACACACGACAGGTCATCACACTGCTACACACGACAGGTCATCACACTGCTGCACTCAACAGGTCATCACACGCTACACACAACAGGTCATCACACGACAGGTCATCACACTGCTACACACGACAGGTCATCACACTGCTACACACAACAGGTCATCACACGCTACACACAACAGGTCATCACACGCTACACACAACAGGTCATCACACGACAGGTCATCACACTGCTACACACGACAGGTCATCACACTGCTACACACGACAGGTCATCACACTGCTACACTCAACAGGTCATCACACGCTACACACAACAGGTCATCACACGACAGGTCATCACACTGCTACACTCAACAGGTCATCACACGCTACACACAACAGGTCATCACACGACAGGTCATCACACTGCTACACACAACAGGTCATCACACGCTACACACAACAGGTCATCACACAACAGGTCATCACACTGCTACACACGACAGGTCATCACACTGCTACAGTCAACAGGTCATCACACGACAGGTCATCACACTGCTACACACAACAGGTCATCACACTGCTACACACAACAGGTCATCACACTGCTACACACAACAGGTCATCACACAGTGAAACAACTCAACGTCTCCCCTCACCTGTTCCTGAAGAAGTTAAACGCCCGTTGATAATACACATCTTTGACAGGACTTTGCTTGTAGTAGTTTTTGACGTGAGCGAGGTAGTCGGTCCTGCGGACGTGGACGGTGACTATGGTGGCGTCCCTCAGGGCCGTGTTCAGTGCTTGTAGAGCGGCAGCCACCTGGACCTTAGCTTTACGCAGAACCCGCTGGTTGAAGGTGAACTCCTGGCGAAAGTGATCTCTCATGGTGATGAGAATGTGAGAAGGACAGGGGAAGTCTTTGACGTAGACAGACTGCTGGAGCGGGTACGGGTAGAGCTGGGTGTCGTCGAGCGCTCTGCTGTCTGCGCTCTTGGCAAACAGCTTCATGTACAACTTTGCGAATGATTCGCTGTGAGTGACGCGAGGATAGCACTCCCCGGTGGCGACGGGTAGACTCAGCTTGGGGAAGATCGCCACCAATGTATCACTCATGCCTTGAGCAATGGCCACCTGGAGGGAAGACACATACACACACGTCAGAGTATTGGATTGGCTGCTGTGTCACACTCACTCAATGTTCACTGTTCCCGTCAGCAGTGATGGGACACACATTTAGACGTATAGAGCAGTGTTCACTGTCCCCGTCCCCACGGATGGGACACACACATTTAGACGTATGGAGCAGTGTTCACTGTCCACGTCCCCACGGATGGGACACACACATTTAGACGTATGGAGCAGTGTTCACTGTCCACGTCCCCACTGATGGGAAACACACATATTCCATATTCGTACGTAATAGGTATTAAACCATATATAAATGAGAGTAAAATCTCTCTGGATCACAATAACTATATATCTTTAGAGATGTTTCTGTTAAATATAATGTATTGAATATAAGAGGCCTATGGCAAGTTCACCTCCAGTAGGTCAATATGGAGGGCCTATAATTTTTATAATTTGATTCGTTTTGTTGAATTAAACCCGACTGTTGAAAGTCATATGTAGCCTTAGGCTATTTCTTCCAATGACCCAACAGCAACTTACTGTCAACAAGTTACTGTCATAAAATGGGGCTCGTGTTCTCTCAAATAAGTGAATTGTGTCAATGAAAACGAACTCCTGGTCTGTGTGTGGGAACCGACCTGTGAGATTTATATTTATTTAATTTATATGAATTTATATTTACGTTAATTTATATACTTCGATAGCAATTTGTATAATGATAAGTGGACTGTATTTCTGCAATAATCTCTTAATCTCACAAATCGATCCTCTACACATTAGGGGGGTTTATTAAATTTATATATGCAGCCAATCAAACTACAGTAATAGACTACATACATTGAAGAGGTTCCTTATCTTATAGTACAGCAGGTTAGTCCACCAGGTATAACTAGGGTGTAGACACCAAATTATCCTCTTTGAGGTAGCTTCCATCACCCAGTAACTGGTGCACAAAGTCCTTGCTTCCTCGTCTTGACCTGTCAAAAGGGCGCTAGCTGTAAAGCCAGAATCCTATATATGACAAGTTATATCAGAGAAAACACTATACATGGAACAATAAAGACCTGGCTTAATTACCTTTAGTTTGAGGCGATTTCGCGTTCTAACCGGGTCACCCTATATCCTGACATTAATGGCCATAAATGAATGATAAACGGGTTTCGGATAGACACTTAACTTGAATTTGTAGACAGCGTGTTGATAATGGTACACCTTTGGTTTCCATAACACTACGTCCAAGTAAAATTAACAGGAGCCGAATTTGCTCCCGTGAGCCTCTGGTCTAGTACAAACAATGGCTGCGACTAACACTCCATACTATTGACGCCTGGCCGACATTGTCCAGATATGATAGGAGCCGAATTTGCTCCACACGTCTCGGAGGTGACACAACAATGGCTCCCTCCTTCCTCACCCTGACGCCTGGCTTACATTGTCCAGATTTCAGAAAGTGATAGAAGGGTCACATTTACTCTACTTTAATATTGATAATTAAGTTAATTTATATAAGATGTTTTTATGATGGTAAAGTCCAAAGACTAATGTATTTAAGAATAATTCCCACCATAATAGGTGGTGAATTATAATAGTGTGTGGTGATGATATCCCGTTTTCTTTAGATGGTAATTCCACTACAAGTTACGTTTTCTATGGGTAACTTGTTTATACAATACAGCTATTATCTGTATGATATTATTATTAAATGGTGTCGGATTTTCCGACACTGTGGGTGCCGAGTTGGTGTTGGGTCATTGGAAGAAATAGCCTACAGCTACCAATGACTTTTAACAGTCGGTTAGCCATTTGGTCAGGGTACTGGACTTGTCAGTGTGTTCACTACACCTGTCAGTCTAACGTTTGAACCTTTCACGAGTGGAGTCGCTTTTGGTTCATGCAAGTTATATATATATATATATATATATATATATATATATATATATATATATATATATATATATATATATATATATATATATATATATATATATATATATATATATATAGAATGTATATATATATATATATATGTCGTACCTAGTAGCCAGAACTCACTTCTCAGCCTACTATTCAAGGCCCGATTTGCCTAATAAGCCAAGTTTTCCTGAATTAATATATTTACTATAATTTTTTTCTTATGAAATGATAAAGCAACCATTTTCTCTATGTATGAGGTCAATTTTTTTTTATTGGAGTTAAAATTAACGTAGATATGTGCCCGAACCTAACCAACCCTACCTAACCTAACCTAACCTATATTTATAGGTAAGGTTAGGTTAGGTAGCCAAAAAAAGCTAGGTTAGGTTAGGTTAGGTAGGTAGGTAGACGAAAAAACATTAATTCATGAAAACTTGGCTTATTAGGCAAATCGGGCCTTGAATAGTAGGCTGAGAAGTGCGTTCTGGCTATTAGGTACGACATATATATATATATATATATATATATATATATATATATATATATATATATATATATATATATATATTTATATATATATATATATACACTAACTTGCTTAAACCACAAGTGAAGTTTAACAAACTTTAGACAACACCCACCAGTGGGCCTCGAACCCAGAAAGCACAACTACCTTCCAGTAGCTGCCATAACTAGTACGCCTTAGTCCACTACACCAAATCAGACCCTTAAAAGAGATAGAGATTTCGAGGTATTTACCTCAAATATCCCCATCTCCCAAGGGCAACAGACTGGTGAGTTTTTTTTTTTTTTTGGGGGGGGGGGAAGTTTGCCGTAGCAAAGCACGTCGTACATATAATAATAATATATGTAGTGAATAAATTCGCCCAAAGAAAGTGTTATATTTACCATATTTTTCTAGGTTTGAAAATATGGTCAAGGCCTTGAAACTTTTTGATATAAATATAATGTTTAGTTACGAAAATACTGTTGGTAAACTATTAGTTAGAAACAGCCCTCGTAGTGATAATTGTGTCATTTATAAAATATCTTGTAAAGATTGTAATAGATTCTATGTTGGGCAAACTTCTAAAGATTTGAAATGTAGAATTTCGCAACATAAATACTCTGTAAGACATGGCCAATTGTCTAATGCTTTGTTTGTTCATTTGTCAGAAAATTCTCTCCAAATTGATTGGGAGATGGCGTCTTCAATAACGAATTGTAAAAGCACTTTAAAAAGGAACATAATTGAATCTGCTTTAATACAGATTACAAAAGAGTGTAATTTGAACATTAGCAGTGGTTTATATAACTTAGATCCATTTTTGATAGATCAATTAAAGGGCGAGTAGAATCATTGATACACATTTGTCTTACTAATTCATTGTTAATATTTACTATCTTATGCAATTATTATTCATGTGTGGGCCTATTGATGCAGTTCTTATTTTATGAGCCCATAAACCATTAGTGGGTATAAATAGGAGCTGCCTTGTATGGGCCAATGGGCCTTCTGCAGTTCTTATGCCGCTCTTATTTATTTGCACCTAATTCCCATTATTCCCATTAATTTTTCATTGTACCTTAGTTCACTTCACCTCTCGCTCCTGCCTATATATTTGTCCAATACTTGACCTGTAAATTATTCCTTCTGAAGATGTATTATACGAAAGTACATAAGAAAATTCCTGTCTCTCTCTCTCTCTCTCTCTCTCTCTCTCTCTCTCTCTCTCTCTCTCTCTCTCTCTCTCTCTCTCTCTCATAGGGAAAACATGGCAGGGACACGAACTCGGGGTGACAAATGCAGGAGGATACTCGCGGCTTGAACAGACTCAGAGGAAGGGGTGGAACAGGAAGCCTGGATGAAGGGAGTATTCCAGCAAATGCGGGATGAATTCAGTGAAGGACTGAGGGTAATGAGGAAGACAGTAGCCAACCTGCAGGATGAACTAAAGGCAGCAAAGGAGGAGATAAGATGCCTGAAGGAGACTCCTCCGCAATACCAGACACAAACCGTACCTCAGGGAGATGGGAATGCTACTGTGAAGGGGACCTACACAACTCAGCTCTCATTTGCTGAAATGCTTAAAAAGAGCCCGGAAGCTAGGACTGCAGTTAGGGAAGTTGCCATGGAAGTGGCTTTCTCTCAGGAAGCAGCTAGATGTACTAGCCGGCTGATAGAGAGAAAAAGAGCAGTAGTAGTAGTAGTAGTAGTAGTAGCAGGCATTAAAGAGCAAACAAAAGGAGTGGAGAGACAAGGACAAAAACATAGTAACTGAGATCCTTAAAGAGGTAAGGATGGAGGAAACTGACCAAAATGCTGAAAAGGTTTTCAGGCTTGGAAAGTACAACAAGGACAGAGACCGAATGATAAAGGTGGTATTCATGAGCGAAGTCACGAAAGGGGAACTTTTAGCAAGGAAGAGCCGTCTAGCAAATGTACAGAAGTTCAGAAAAGTATTCCTGCAGAGGATATGACAAGAGAAGAGAGAGCAGCAAGCAGCAGAAGCGAGGAAGGAGCGCAGGGAGAGAGAAGGAATCTGAGAAGCACAACCCCGAACCCTATATTCCCAGAGGGGAGTGGGGAACCCTCCTCAAACAGTGCAACAGCTACAGGGAGTGGGGCACCACCCCCACATTCTACCCAACAGACACCCTACCTGCCCCATCCCCTGTCAGCCCCCAACTATGTAACCACCTAGGGCACCCTCCCCCCACCCACCCCCTCCTCCCACTCATCCCTCTCCCCTGGACCTCCCTTCTCCCCCATCCCCCAAGCCCTCCCATCCATGCCCTCCCATCTCTACCACCCCCAAGCCCTCTATTCTCCCCCACCCCCCTAAGCCCCCAACTCTCCCCCACCCCACCTAAGTCTTCCCCTCTCCACCACTCCCCTAAACCCTCCCCTCTTCCTCACCAACCATGCCTTCCCCCTCTTTTCTGCCCCCAAGCCCCCCCCATGCCCCCAAAGCCTCTCCTCTCCCCCATGCTCCCCCAACCCTCCCCCTCTCACTCCCCCCTCAACCCTCCCCCTCTCACTCTCCCCCAACCCTCTCCCTCTCACTCTCACCCCCCAACCCTCCCCC